CCCCAAAACCCCAAAACCCCAAAACCCCAAAACCCCAAAACCCCTAAATCTTAAAATTTGGTTGAATTTAATAATATTAAAATGGAAACCGCAGAGGAAATTCACGCTGATATTCAAATGATCATGGATGCATGTGCAAATATGGATGATGAAGATCTATATACCGAAATGAAAGAGCTTGAAAAGCAAATTGAGTTTGTTGATATCCAAGAAGAGTATATTAAAAACGAACAGAAGTTTTTAAAGAGAGAGTTTATCAGAGCTAAGGAGGAAGTGAAAAAGATTCAAAGCGTTCCCCTTGTTATTGGACAATTCTCTGAGATGATTAATGAGAACTATGGAATTTGTACTAGTACTACAGGTACAAATTACTATGTCAGAGTTCTTTCTACTTTGAACAGAGAAGAGCTTAAACCAAATGCATCAGTAGCTTTGCATAGGCATTCTCATGCCGTTGTGGATATCTTACCTCCCGAGACTGATTCAGCTATTCAGATGATGAAAATGACTGAGAAGCCAGATGTTACTTACCAAGATGTAGGAGGATTGGATGTGCAGAAACAAGAAATTAAGGAAGCTGTTGAATTACCTTTAACGAATCCTGAACTTTATCAGCAAATTGGTATTGACCCACCAAGAGGAGTTCTTCTTTATGGACCACCAGGAACAGGAAAAACAATGATGGCTAAGGCTGTAGCCCATCATACTGATGCAGCCTTTATTAGAGTTGTAGGATCTGAATTCGTACAAAAATATTTGGGAGAAGGTCCAAGAATGGTTAGAGATGTCTTTAGAATGGCCAAAGAAAATGCTCCAAGTATTATCTTTATTGATGAGATTGATTCCATTGCAACTAAAAGATTTGATGCACAGACAGGAGCTGATAGAGAGGTTCAGCGTATTTTGATTGAGCTCCTGACCCAAATGGATGGATTTGATCAGAGTGTTCATGTCAAGATTATTATGGCTACTAATAGGCATGATACTTTGGACCCTGCTCTTTTGAGACCAGGAAGACTGGATAGAAAAATTGAGTTCCCTGTCCCAGATAGACGACAAAAGAGACTTGTTTTCCAAGCATGAACAGCTAAAATGAATCTTCATGATGAAGTTGATTTAGAAGATTTCGTGAGTAGGCCAGAGAAAATATCAAATGCAGATATAGCTTCTATCTGCCAAGAAGCTGGAATGCAAGCTGTTCGTAAGAACAGATATGTGATTATGAGGAAGGACTTCGAAAAAGCCTACAAAAATGCTGTTAAGAAGCGTGACCAAGACTTCGATTTCTACAAGTAATTTGATAATATGCCAACCCAATCTTGAGTTGTATATTAGGGGTTTTGGGGTTTTGGGGTTTTGGGGTTTTGGGGTTTTGGGGTTTTGGGG